AAAAAATCATATTATAGAAAAAGAAAAGATAATAAAAAAACAGTTAAGAGAAATGAACAAGATCCCACATTGTTTGGATAAAGAAGCACAAGGTGGGGGGAGAGACAAAAAATTTTCCCCCAATCATCCATTTTTTTCCTTGTATTTGAAAGGATTTCCTTGTTGGAAAAGATTTCACACAGACAAAAAAGGAGAGATAGGTTAACCGGGAGTTTCATAAATAAGCTTTCTCTTCTCATTGTTTTTAGTAGTGCCTACTTCAAGGCACTTCAATGGATTTGGAAAGAATTTCTGATGGTAATTCATCCCCTGCAGGCTAACAGTCCATTCAGTAGCCATGATTAGCATTAGTGTGGCGTGTTGAGGGCTATTCACACTGCAAGCGTGTGACTTAACAAATTCACTGTTATTAAAACCATTCACATCACACAACAACCATGATTAGTGGCTAATCGGCCAGCACAAGGAGCCAGCAGAAATCTTAGTCCACAGTGGATGAGTCACTACCAAAAATACCCTGACATAAGAATAGATTTTCCAAGCCCATTAAAGTGCTTTGAAGTAGGCACAATCTATTGGTTAAAAGACAAAATAACAAATTGCTAAAGAGGCAACCCACTAAAAACAATGAGAAAGGAAAGATTATCCATATAAACACCCCTTAACCCATCACTCTTTTTTATCTAAGCAGGATCTTTTGTAACAAAGAAATAGTTCCAATTACAACGAAGAAATGGATGGGTGGTGGGAACATTTATCTCTCTCCTCCCTCATACTCCACCATCCAAACAATGTGGGTCTTGCTCCTTTTTCTTTACTTATTTATATTATCGTTTCTTTTTATCTTTATAACAGTTATTTTATTCTATTACATATATTTCATTCTTTACTTTCATGTAATAAATAAATAATTACAAACAAAATAAATAAACACGTATGTACATAAGTATGAAAACATAAATAAGTAAATAAATAATTGAATAAATAACCATGAAATATATAACTAATCTGCTTAGCTAATAGATTTATAAATAAACAAATAATACATTCATAATTAATTATATGAAATAAAAAAAATATAAATACATAAATAATTAAGAATAAATACTATTACTTTGTTATGTTCAAATAACTGTAAATATAGAATTATTAACAATAGTTAGTAGTATTTGATATAAAAAAAAAAATTGTATTAATTCTCATGGATTTTGATCTCTTAGTAAATGTCAAATTTATAATAAAATTACATAAAATACAAACTTATATCTAATGTCTTTAATGGTCATTTTCTTTTCTCATTACACCTCACCTCAACACCATCGTTGTTTTTTTGTCGAACGCAAGTCTCATCACTAGTTTCCATCTCAACAATGCAACTCCCAAACTCATCACATTCTCACCAATCTCACCAACACCGATGTTTTCAATCTCACCACTACCAATTTTACCGTTGTGCTGAGCAGAACCTAAGAATCTCTACTAGACCACTTGTGCTCTAGTGGCAATTACCCACTAATCGTGGGGGTGGTGCATTGTGAATGGTTTCAATTGCATTGCAAATGTTGAGATGAATACTTGCAGTGCAAATAGTCCTCAACGCACCGCACTAGTGCTAACGTGGCTACCGAACATACCATAAAACATGTGGTTCAAGCATTCAATCGAAATTTCAGAAGAAGCTTAAGAACGATAAATGATATGAAATGAAAGAAGTTAAGTAATATATGAACCAAACATCAAAAGCTTCCATCATCGGAAAGAGACCAGGTACCTAAAACATGTGGTTCAAGCATTCAATAAAAGTATTTGTCTTTCCAAAAAGTCAATTGATAACTCTATGAGTGTGTCATCAATATATTTCTTATGAAGTTAGACAAGCATTTATTGCTACAACGATCGATGTATATGAGATTGATAATGAAAATTTTTTGACAATGCCTTTAACTACAAAAATCTGTAAGAAATAGTTGTAAAAAGTTTTAGTTTATATAGAACAATAACTTTTGTTTATTTATATTATTCTCAATATAAGCATCATTTGCCAGTTATGCTACAAGAAATATTTCATATTATATGTGTCTTCCTTTTTTGTAAAAATTTATCTCTACTATTTTCTAAGGAAGAAATGAGTACTTTTTAGTAAGTCTGCCTTCGGTAAACATAAATCTTGGATCTATCCCCGATGATGATAATGGATTTATCAAAACATGACGATCCACAAAACAGAAAATTTTGTATATCTAAATGGCATTGTAACAAGAGCATCACAAGTAAAGTTGACTTAAATCGTCCCAAACACCAAGTGATGCAGAGAATCCAAAACCAGCATTTTTCCCATAACCTTTATTTGTTTGGTATTAAAGAATTCGCTTTTCTTCCAAAAAAAAAAAAGAATTGACCTTTTTATATATCTAGTATTTACCAAATTTATTTTATATTCAAGAACCCTTTACAAAAACAATGATTTTGATAGAATTGAGTTATATTATTAGCACATCAGTATTATTCAGGATGCTCCCTCTTATGAAATTTTTAAATCAACAATGTACAGAAAAGGAATGTTGCAGAAAACAATTTCTGATAACGACTTCCAACTTGCGTAAATGCAGCAACTGTCCTGAAAACACTTCTCAGATTTTTTGTCCCTCTCACCACATGAACCATAAAACAACATAAACATTTCAAGAAACTGCAGGAACACACTATGCATGTTCACAATCCACATATTTGAATCCCCATTTGAGCAAAGAACATTAGAAAATGAGCATATGCTCATGTAAGACATATAGTGCCATTAAGGAGAGTACAGAGACCAGAGTTGAAAAGAATTACCAGCCAAAGCTAGCTTTAACCCTGTCTCTATGTTTGGGATGCTTGGAACTAGCACTCCTGGTGTATCAAGCACATATATACTAGGTTGATGAGCAATCTGTAAGTTTGTAGAGCACAAGGTATATTAAAACATCAGTTCTCAATGCTATGTTGAAGCTAAAAAAAATACCATGAGGAGTAACAATGGAAGTCAAAACACTTCCATTGCAAACAACTAGAAAGAGAAAAAATGAAGAAAAAAAAGCAAATGATTTTAACAAAAATGATAGAGCAACACGTACTTGACAGTTTTGTAGACAAATCATCATTGTTAATCGTACATATATCAAAATTCAAAAACATAAGAAATTTTCTAAATAAGGATCAAACTTTTGATGTCTGTAGAACTTTAATGCCCAAGACCATCACCAAATCAAATCAATGGCAACAGCAAAGTGGCACTTTCTGTTGGAAGGACATGCTTGTATCATGTCAATAGTCAAATATGCAGCCAAAATTGATAAAAGCATTACTTATTCATTATCACCAACATAAGCACAACTCTTATTACACAGGTACCCTAGCATGATTCAGATATCCATTTACTAAACATGCCGTAATCAGTTGATATGCATATGATTTAAGATTAACATGCTTAATTAATTACCCTTTGTAACAGAAAATCAAAATCTATTTATTCAACATGATAATATTGACGTTAAATTGTTATAACTTTCTAATATAATTAACAAAAATATCTTCTGACTGCACAATTTACTTTGTATCAATATATTTTGACAAATGAAAGAAAATAAAAATTGAGGTTTTACTCGGGGGTTAAATGATCATAAATAGGTTATGTACATAAACAAGTCAACCTGCCATCATTATTTATTTGTTTCAACATGAAATCAATTTCACATCAACTTGGTCAACCCAAAATGACAAGTTCATTAATTGTCTTGAACAATCTGGCCTGATTTGACATGAAAAGAATTAGATGAGCCAAAACCGAGTAGCTGCCCTTGAGTTAGAGTAATATTTGCAAGGCATGTTAGACAATGCAACTCCAAGGCCAGACTTACAACTTACAATTTACAAACCAGACTAGAAAGGAACATGATAAACTGAAGCTCCCTAAGATGACAAACAGAAGCCATGGTATTGATTGGCCACAACATAGCCAACTCCAGCATGGCTCTGGGTTTGTTGGGCATGTGCAAATACCAGAAAGAGAGATAGAGAGAGAAAGGAAAAGTAGAACACTTGACCTTGTACCCAGCAATATCTTGGGTAACACCTGGCAATGGGCCCACAGTGGCTCGTTTCATCTTTTCCTGCACTATGCATAAAACTCCAACTATTATTGCTCAAGGTCAATGGATTTGGAATAAATTACTAACAAGCAGGAACTCAATCAATTACCATTCTCACTGCAATTCTATCTTAAAATCAAACCTAAAAAGCAACATCTTACCTGGAAAGCGAGTTGATGCAATTTGATGGATTGAATTAATTAAAGCTGATTTCCCCACATTAGGAACACCAACCACCATAACAAGAAGGGTAGGTTCTCTCGAAATCACTTCCTTCAGTTTGAACTCCACAAGCTCAAGAAGCTAGTATAAAGGAACCACAAAAAGGAGAGAGCTAATAAAGAATAATATATGTGATGCCAGGGCATAAATGAAGCTGGAGATAAAATGTGAAGAAATAACATTTAGGGATCACTTGAATATTGTAAGTGTAACTATACATTCAACCAATTACAGAGGAGATGCAATAGCAATGCTTACTATAAAAAGGCAATCGTTCACCAACAAACTTAGTCAACTAAATTAAAAGCATGATTTCAAACTCTTCTAAATCAAATGCAAATGAAAAAATTAAAAACGTACTTGTATTAATTTAATAAAAATATGCGGAAAGTTATAATTTATCAAACGATTAATTTGAGCTGCTTAGGCCTCTACACTCATCCACGAAGGAGGGAGTAGCAAAGGTGAACCTAAAAGCACAGTTGTAATCTCCTCTCAACTAATTAGAAACTAATCTTGTATACAAACAAAACAGTTCTAGGACAATGGAAATGCTTCATTCACTTGAATCATAATGTCATTATCAGAGAGAGACAATATGCAGAAGTACACGTATAAACCATGTCTTTGCAGCATAAACTTCATACGTACTATCAGCATATGTGATGATGACCAAAAATTAGGTCTATACTTTTCATTTCCCCTTTTTTTCCAATGAGCAAGCCAGTTGAATACTTCAATTTACTACAAGATGTCACAAATTGCCCAATCTAAACAGATAGATTTGTAGCTTCGTATCAAGCTATATTGATGCAACTTATTTTATAATGCAATAACTAACTTCCCCCATTAGAAACCTCTTTCTCATAAGTCTTCCTTCTCCTGCTCATATTTGACAAGAGGCAAAATTCTGTGCATGCAGCATGAGTCACCTCTAATCATATAACGAATCCACCATTTTTTTCATTATTATATATCATTTCAAGTAACAAACACTCTTAAAGCTCAGAAAAAGATCATTTCATAAATTGCAACCATCACAGTGGAGACACAACCTTCTTGAAAAAGCCATGGAAGTTAAAGATCAACTAATTATGCTACCATAAAAGATTAATTTCCAAGTTTTAGTCAGAAAATTGGTCGAGGTTCCTGTTTCTAGGTTAAGCCATCACAACAATAACTAATACTTAGCAATTACTACAGAACTGAAAAACAACACAACACACATTCAGTCAGTAATCACTAATTATATGTTATTCATTCCGAAGCAAAAATTTATACCCAAGTTTTTCATTTTCAACAAAGCCGAGCATCAACTAACCTTTCTAACAGAACTTCTGCTGTGTGCATTTATAGGAAGACAATCTTGCTTACACGAATCAAAATATCGAACCCATTTCTACAGAAAATAATAATAAACAACAAGCATTATATTTACAAAGAAAAACAATTAACACAAAACACATAATTACAATAGTAAAGCTTTAATTTGACATAGAACTACAAAGAATTAGTAAAACCTCAGTTTGGTTGTTACTTTAGCCATTTCCGCTAAAAGGCGAAACAATATTTGATTGATACGAGAAAAAAACTAAAACGCAACGCATATTCAAAAATAATTGCTTCATAGGAAAGCTTCCAGTATTTGAACGCGTTTTTTTTATCGAAAACAAAAGGCAAAAGTAGAAAGGCAACAATCAAACGAAGCAGAAGATTAAAAAAAAAAAACGAATTCAATGAATATATATATATATATATGTATATATATATACACACACACACAGAGAGACGAACATTTAGGACATTGGAGTTGGCTAAATCTTTCTTGTTAAGAGCAATGATGCGTCTTTTAGCAGAGAGATGGGGCTGCAAGTCTTGATGAGCGGACGAAAATGGAATCTGCAAATAAATATTTTTTATTAAAAAAAATTAGAATTATTTTGAAACAAATAAACTTACTAGTACAGAAAATGAGAACGAAATACTATTAGGAGATGATATAACATAGTAATGAAGGTATATTGAACGGACACGGGCGTCGCGGACTTCGATGGCGAGGTCGGAGAGCTTAAGGCGGTTACGGATGGCGCGGGTGGCGGCGGCCATGTGGCCCGGAAACCAGTTAATGACTCCACCTTCTTTGTTGAATCCCATCTCTCCCACTCCCACTACTTTCTTTGCTATTCCTTTTATTCCCATTTCTCTCAATTCCTTTTTGTTTTTTGAATGAGCAATCAAAGAGATTGACTGAGTTTTTGCAGAGCAAAAGCAAGTGACAAGAGAGAAAGGAAGAGACAGCACAGTTGTGCGGGGTTTTGCCTTTTAATCATTTTATATATAGATACTTGAAGCTGAGCCCAGAGCAGTTGGACTTGAGAGCTCAGACAATGCTTTAGAATCTGACCGAATACTAATATTTAATGTTAAAAAACTCCTCAAGGCCCAATCAGTACTTGGGTCTAACCCAAATCTTCCAGCATTCGGCCCTTACATTCCACCACTAGTTGCCTTTGCCTCTTTTATTCTTTTTTCCCGCTATTTAGAAAAAATAAAATAAAAGAATTTATTATAAAGGTACTTCCAGTTACAAAGTATTTGTTATCTTGTACCTTGACCATAAATACTTATTTTTTATTTATTTTTAACAATAATTACTTACAACTGCAAATGCTTGTTAAATAATAGTTAGACATAAATTATTCACTACTATTACAATTAAGACAAAAATATTTTTAATGAGAGTCAATCAATGCAAGTAAAATTCACATTATGCTAGAAGCGTAAATAAGTCAAGTCACATTATATAGTTTGAGGTTGATTGTCATGGGAAAGCAATATTGGAAAACATGATTAAAGCGGAATGTTATAATGCTAATTATAAAGAATTAGTAAAGAACAAAAATGCACTTTTTTCAACAATAATTTATTGCTATATATCTTGCAATTAGGTTGGTGTGGCATGATCCCACCGGCCCCCGGAGAGGGAAGTTGTAATATCAAATCCCTATCACCTACCGCCCATGGTTTGATTCCTTGTAACAATCTATATGACTTAATTATAAATGCGTGTTTGAGAAGCCACTTGGCTCGGCTGTCCTACTCCAACGATACAAAAATTGAACCAAGAACTTAGCAATATCTCTTTTCTTTTCTTTTCTTTATTTTTATGTTGAAAGAAGAGGCATTCCATCCTCCCCTTTTTTTTATGTTAAATTAATTACTTAGATATAATATATAAGTATGTAGTTTAATTCCAAATTGACGAGGCTTTAGATTTTGAGAGAGGTACACAAACTGTTACATATTGCCCAAGCATTCGTCAAAAACCAATCTCCAAATTCATTATTTTAATTATGAGGTATTCTCCTGATAAATTAGCCATCAATTACAGAAAGATAAATGCTATTTTTTCAATATTTTGTCTAATTATTAGCTATTTACTCTAAATAATATTGTAGTAATGATTCATTTGTTGAGTCTCAATAATGATGCCGGAAATCATAACCCATATATATATATATATATATATATATGTATATACATATTCTCAAATGATTCAAAAGTTCTACTTCACCTTGACTTCACTCCAAGGAGTACAAAGCAACAAATAATAAGCATAATAAAATAATTTTTAATTTATATTTAATTACAAAATAGTAATTAAATAAATAAGTTGAGCCAGATTCAATTTAACTTATAAAATGAAAAGTTAGATAACTCCCATCTGACCCGATTCATGAATATCTTTAAACGCAAAATTATTGAGATAAGTCATATTAATTGTTATATTAGAAAACCCTAATTCATGCAAACTCTCTCTCTCTCTCACGACGATTTCCCAACAATCACTACTAATGCCCCGGCCAATGGTCGACCACCGAGCCTTCTTGACAAGTAGTCGGCAATGACATAACCATCCATGCCAACACCTCCACCCTCCATACAAGCGTTGTTTTCCTCCATGCAAGCATCGCCACCACTTCCGATATCACAAAGAACCCTAAACAAATCCTTCCTCTTGACTACTCTTAACAGCAACCCACCATTGATCCCAGCCTGGGCTCTTGAAAGATTCTAAGATAAGCTTACAATAGCCTTCTTCTCTAATGAGATTGAAACACTTCAAAACTATTTAATTTCTCAATGATCAGCAAGTTCAACCTAATGCCCAAAATGATTGAAATCCGCCAAGCCTTCACGGGGATAGGCCTCTCGAGCATATACATTATCAAGAGGCTTAATTATAAATACATACTTATCAACCTCTCCAACGAGCATGATTTCAAATGCATCTAGGCTAGACAAGTTTGATTCGTTTTGACCTAGAAAATGTGAACCTTTAAATGGTCCCTGGATTTCTTTCCAGTGAAGGAATCCTCCATTATGTTGGTATAGATTTCCTTCCCCAACCTCAAACCACATTTATTTGAAAAATCCGGATTCATGGTCATTGCTTCAACCATCGGTGTCCTTCTCTATATCGATAAGGCCACAGAAAATGGCACCCACCCAAGCACCGCTCGTGTATGTGTTAAGTATGACTGTTTAAAGCCAACCATCGACTCCATTTGGATAATGATAAAGGATAGGAACATTGGAATTATCATGGGTGATTACTCTAAAAAAGTCAAATTTACAGCCATGCCAAAATATTGTACTCATTGTTCCCATGTCACCATGATGACTCTAACTGCCTAGTTGATAACTCTATTACATAGAGTTATCTTAACATATTTCAGTAAAGCTGTCAATATGGGCTGACCAAGCCCAACTCGGCCCAAACCCTTGTGGGTTAAGAAAATATGGGTTGGGCTAGACCAATTCATTTTTTATACGGGCCACCAAAACTTCAACCCAGCCCACCCCTTGTTACCCTATGGCCTAGGTTGGGCTAACCCATTTTTATTTTTTTCAAAAAAAAATTATTTTTAAAATTCTACCTAACAAATTTTCTATTAATAAAATTATTCTATGATTTAATTCATAAATTAAATAATAAAAATATGTTACAAACAAACAAATTACACCAAATATAAAAAAAATAAATTACATAAATAAAGTATAAATTTTTAACACAAACTACTATCCCATAAATATAAGTATATAACAAAATAATAAAAATATCAAGACTCATTTATATCATCCTCAATCCTCATCTTTAAGTAAAATATTTAAATTTTATTTAGACAGCAATGATATCTCAAGGTCTAAATCATTATCAATTTATCATCTAATATTCATTACCATAAAAGAAAAAGAGATAATAAGTTTTAATTTAAATTAAAATTTTTAATTTGACAAGTAAAGATTAAAGACATTGAAATATATAAAATAAGCAATACCATTGGTAAGTAAATTATTAATTTTATATAGTTAAATAATTAAAATTATTTTTTTTGATCCATAGGGCTGGCCCACTTCATCCCACCTCAGCCCACTGATTTAATGGGTTGGCCCATTTAGGCCCGATTCTAATATGGGCCTAAATTTTCTAGCCTTGCCCACCCTATATTTAATAGAAAATAAGTTGGCCTAATGGGCCAGGCCCATTTTAACAAGTCTATATTTCAGGTGCTAAAATGGTTAAGTTCTCTAGTTTTAGGTGTAGTTTAGGTTGTTTTAGTTGCTTTTCTTTAATTAAATAAAAGAATATCATGTTAATTAAATTTCAGTTATTTTAGTTCACTTATGTGTTAAAATGTTTAATTTTAGTTGCTACTGATTTAGTCCTTTGTTTTAAAAGTCTATATATGAAGAAAGACTGTAGCTGAAAGGAAACGTGCAAGGGTGGATTGGTGTATAGAGGTGCTAACCATGCTACAGTCTTCTAAGCATAATTTGAGTTACTTATGTTTGATTGCTATGATTTTTGAATTACTAGAAAGCTAAGTGAAAGACCTACAACTTTCATATTGATCACTTAGACTAATTTTGATCAAAGCATAGCCAAAATCATATGGAAAGTGACTGAATTGCAATAAGGTTGAGTATTGAGATGGAAGGGGCAAGGTTTGAAGCAACAAGCACGGCGCCATGCTCCTAGCGTCGTGGTGCCAACTAGGTCAAGTAGCAAGGCCCCAAGATAAAAGCATTGGTGTTGCGACACCATGCTCTTAACGTCGCAACGCCACTTCAGCACACAAAACAACAAGCAAACAAAAGCAACTAGCACCACAACGCTACTCCAGCCAAGTATACCTTCCTAAGGCAGTAAGCTCAGCACCATGGCATCGACATAAAACATGTTAAATTTAGAGCCTCCGATCTTTCAGATTAGAGGGCCCTTTAAAGGGGTATAAAAAAAGACATTTTTAAGGTAAAAGGAAGAGATTTTTTATAGCAACTTTTAAAGGGAAAAAGGAGAAAAAAAAGAGGAAACTTTTCACAAGGAGAAAAGAAGAGGAAATCTTGAAAAGAAGCTTGAAAAAGTTGCACAAAAAAAGTGTTCTCTCTCTAGCTTTATTTTTCTCTCTTTAAATCTTCTTATATAAATGCTTTATTTTTCTGAGATTTTGTTTGTAGGCTATGAAAATATTAGGCTAAACTTTCCTTTTTAGGATTATGGTGGAGATTAATATATAGTGTGGATGCTTAATTCACTTTTACTTGCTTTTTATGGAATATTTAATATTTATTCAAATTTGAGTTTATTTCCCATTTTATTGATGGTTCACTAATAGGATATGTTTAGGTTTTTAGATAAGACTTGACAAAGTTAGTCTAAATATCATGGTTTGGGTAGTATATGATCATGGCCATTAAGAATTAATTGCGTGAATTGTTAATAGGGTAGACATGCACTATTAAGCATACACAGTCAATTGTAGGACTTATACTTAAAAAACTTAGCTTAATTTATTAGCTATAAACATATAAAGAATTAAATTACACATGAGCATTTGGTTCATTAATTGGTGCATAATCCCTTTACCTAAAGAGTAGGGTTCAAATCCCCCCTCCCTCAATTATTAAAAACAAATATAAAAAATTAAATTAAGTTAGACCATTGTACGAAATCTTAATAGAGAATCGTACATGCTTAAGGAACCTAAGCTAGCATTAATTTTCTATAAAAGTAAGTAATTAGTTAATCTTAAGTCTAAATGAAGCATTAGTCAAAACCATAAACCTAGGTCTTCCATTTGCATGGGAACTGATTCGGCAACAACAACCATTAACTAGTGTCTTCCATTTGCTTTGGCATAAAAGCATTCCTTTCACTACTTTTTTCCTTTGGTGGTTGGTACATGGATGGATATCGGTTGATCTACGGCTAAATCGAAAGGCA